TGGCCTTGTATAGCTCTAATGACAGAATTTTATGTGATCACTTTCCATTCTGAAAATACGATGAGTCTTCATTATTGATTATTTTAAATCTAGTTGCTTAGTTTTGGGGCTAGTAACACCTGCAACTTTCAACTCAGTATACTTGGCACACTACAAGAAGATGCTCAAATACTGACTTCATTGTCAAGAAAAGTGGCTTGTGGATCAGACAGCACATGGGGCATTACGGCCAGGACTGCAGCTATATGGAGCTCCTTCTGAAGAAGCCTCCCTCTTCTAATTAGAAATCTGTTGTCATTTCAAGACCGGTAGAATCATCTACAATTAAGAAGCCAGAAGGGCTTGGGCAAATAGGAATAAAAAGAGAATAATTTTTTTAAATGGACTTTGAAGACAGACATTTGGTCTGAATGCTTTGCCCCACTGAGAATAATTCTCAGTCCTTATGTAGAGGTTTCCTTGTCTGTTAAAAGGCCTATGTCTCGATGAGAGGTGTATGAAACGACCACAATGAAACATTGTTTCTTCTTTACCTAACCCATTCATTGCAACGAAGGACTGAGTTTCCAGCATTAGATGAAAATAAACTGAGAGAAGAGAGATTCTCATTTCGACACTCTGTATATCAGAACTGTAGACTCCTTAGGCTTGTTTATTATTAATTCACAACACTCTTGATAAATACCTTTTCACATTCCAACATCAATGGCAATAAAGTTTAAGTAATTTACCACCTAAAAAAGAGACAAAAGCTGAGCAAAAATTATGTAAGTCACTTTAAAAAGCTCAAACATCAGATTAAGTGCTTTAACAAGCAGTAACACTCTCCAGCTATGCTTTTTAAACTCTGAGACCAAAACATAAAAGTTCAACTGTCTACTCCTAATTCAGGACCACAAAAGGGACAGATCGTTTGGCCTCATGCAGAACAATTCTGGAAGGAATGAAATTCCCAAACCCAACTTTACATGAAGGTATTTTCTTCTGGTTATTTTCAAAATTATGTGCATGAAAAAAAAATCTTTTTGAAGCACACAGCCCATGAAATAGTATATTCCAATCAGAATCAGTTGGCGTCAAATCTAATAATCTCTTCATAAAACTGAGTTGTCAATTATCAGAACTTACTAACTCCCATATAGATACATATATATCACATATATTTAAATACACACTTTCTACAAGACACTGAACCTTCTTCTTAAGAAAAGGAGTAAATAAGACATAGGAACCTATGAGGTAGAAAGAAGCAGAGCAGTATGGAAGTACAGGTGGAGATGGAGCTGGAAGGCAGAAAAAAGTGTAAATGGATGGAGAAATTTAAAGATTAATGGAAAGCACCTCAGTCAAGAGACACACTGCGTGCAGCTCCAGCACCTCAGAAACATGGTTAACCTCTCTACACCCCTCTTGCCTCCGTCCTCTGTGGACCAGGTCAGAGAATGTGAATAAGCGCCACACTTTTCACATGTCCTGACCACAGCGGGAGTGCAGTAACCCGCGGTTACGATTACTCCATGTGAATACCAGGTAGTGCAATAGCTGTATATATAATATATGTAATATTATATTTGTAAGTATATATAATGGCTGTATAGGAGAGGGCCCAACATTAATGGCTGCCGTCCTCTAAGAAGGTGAGAGTGGAGGGTGAGAGAGATCCGGGGGGAGGGGTGAAAAAAGTTGGCCAAACTGCTCTGTGGCTTGACTATAGCAGTGACTAGGCGATTTCATGCATTTGTCATTGCTCGTAAGACTGACGCTGTGACTGTAATCATAGCACTTTTTAAAAAGCAAAGTATTTACTTGTTCTGATTGAAACAAACTGCCCAAATTAAGACATGTTGATATATTGATTTCTAAATTAAAAAAATAAATCTAAAGCCCCAAATACTATTTCATATTTTAATTAAAGAATTAACTACATATTAAAAAACATAAGTGGCCATCTGAAAAGTTAACCAAATATTTACTTGAAAATAAAGGAGATGGTATTGAGAAGTGTGGCCAAGTGAATTACGGAAAGAGAAAATGAAAGTGACATTTTCATTGACTAGATTGTAGATTGCTAAAGGTGACTAACACAGCGTCACCCCTAAAAGTCCATTAATGTGCCTTTGCAGGTAATCTCAAAAACATACTGTTATTCTCAGCAAGTTAAAGAACTTGAGTGAGTTCTGTATAACCGCAAAGTATCTGGAAAAGATTTTTTAAGGCTCTCTCTCATTTTCTTCAAGATTGTTACCACATTTGAAGAGCTCTTTTAGTACAGATCTGTGCATCTATTTTGGCAGAAAAATACAGTTTTACAATTTCTTATGCATTGCTATTTATAGAACAGATGAAACACCAAAGAAATTATTTTAAATAAGTAGAGTTCTGGTCAGCTTACAGTGTATTTCTGAACATGTCACTCATATTAGTAGTATAGAACCTTTCTTGGCTTATCATATATTTAGGCCCTACCCTTCCTTGATTTGGTGACCCCGGCCTAACAGGATGTGAAGACTGAAAAGAATATAGAACACATGAAAGAAACATGAGACTGACATTTCAACCAACACAACCCCATAAATATCTGCTCTGTAGCCAGTAGTCACTGACCTGCTGCTGCCTTTAGCACCTTTGCTCACTCATCAGCCCTGACACACAGAACACCTAACCACATTCACTCCTAAAGCCCTTTAGAGAGCGCACAAGGAAACAGAGAAATCATTATGACCCTTATCCCATGGGCTCTGCTTAAGCATGGTTGTTATTTCTTAACAAAAGTGAGATACAATTTCTGCCATTCATGCAGCAGAGGTGCCTGTGCAGAATTCACTGCTTTGTGGAAGTGGACACTAAATCAAAAGGCTTCTTTATTCTATTAAGACATTATCTTTATGCTTTAAAATGTGTGTGTCTTTAGAAAACACAACACTAAATTCTTAAAGTCTCGATGTTTCAAGACATCAATTCATGGAGAAACACAACTACCTAGCTATCTAGAGTGGCCTTTCTTTCTGTACCCCAGGTAAAATCGACTCTCAACACTACTTCCATAATTTTCAACAATGGTTCAAAAACAGTAGGTTGAGAATAATGGCCAGAAAGGGGAATCTGTCAAGTTATCTACGTAGTACAAGGTACCAAGATATGATTGGTCAATCCAAAACCACCTGTTTAAGAAAGTAACAAAACAGAGAACAGGCACTTCCTTAGCATTCCTCTGCCCTACAGCGAGTAGCTTACTGAGCACCTTCTATGATCCCAGCATTGTATAATAAAAGTTAAAATGAAGAAAAATGAAACATAACTTTAAAACCCAGAATTCAATACAAGTACCATTACCATTTCCCAACCAGTGATTTCTGAAAACTTCAATACTTTTTCATGAGCTTCTAACAGAAGCACTTTTTACGTCATACATAGGCAAATCGCCCTTCTTCCTTGGCTCCCACACTGTAAAACAGAACAACACTGCTGCTGTCCATTAGGTTTCCCTATGAATCTTACTATGAATGTTTATAAATTCTGGCCTTTTATATGTACAAACAGGTCCTCAAAACCCTTGGGTGAAGAAGTTGTTAAAATTATGTAAGCCTGCATATTCTCTGAATTTTCACATAAAATTTTATTACTATCACAGTGCAAAACCACCATAAATATTTGTTAACCAATAAAAACAAAAATATCACATAGCTCTGCAAATAGGATTAAAAATCATATATACTTGAAAACAACTTTCATGGAAACAAACTACATACTAGAAGAAAAGATACATCACCAAAAGTACACAAGCACCAAAAAGACACTACTGTTATTGGTTTAAAAGTTGATCTTTAAAGGAAGGTGATGTTCTCCATCTTTAAGCTCTTCAACTGTGCCTTGTCCACAAATAAACTAAGCAAACAGATAACAAGGCTAAATGCAGTTTCACAACTGCCTCTTACACCGAAGCAAAATGGTACATTTCACTAGATGTCTGCAGACGTTGATAACACAGAGACACTTCAACAGTGCTTGAGGATTTCTGAATTTCAAATGCCACCAGTGCTAACTCTGTGCTGCTGTCGCACTCTGACCTCTCTCCTAAGGGTTATCAGCCACACGGAAGGGTGTAGCACTACAAATGCGCTCTGCTACTCACTGCCCTGTCCTAAAAACCCCTTCATTTTCCAAAAAGCAACATTCCATATTGCTCCAAATCTGAGCGCTAGATCTACCTCTCTTAGCTTATCAACTTTCTTCTTCATGTCGCTAGAAATGCTGCACACTAAACTGTAATATTTGAGGGAAACCACCATGAACTCTTAATGCCACTTCTAGAAATTTAAAATTCACAGGACAATTAGTGGCTTTCTGAATAACACCATGAAAAAAACAAAAACAAGCAAACCAAAGGAACTTGCTGATCCGGAGGCCTGGCTATGGCAGCTAGGAAAGAATTAAATTGTGCAGAACTGTAATCTCTCAAAGCTTTTGAGGCTAAGAAAAAGGAAATCTGCTTTTATGTTCCCTTTCTCCGAGTAACTGAAGGACGGGATACCGTGCATCCTCCAAACGCTACCGCTTGCAGGGGGCAACCAATTACAACTTAGATCAGAAGAAACCTATTAAATAAATGTATGTTCATTGCCTGGGGTTTTCAGGAAATATTTTCACAAGATCCCTGTCTTTAACATACAACAGAAACCTTACAGGGAGTGTGCCATCAAGCTAAGCTGCCTCGGAAAAGCCTGCCCTACCCAGGTAGGTACATGGCCATTTAATTCCAAGTCAATCTGGAGAGGTGACAGCCCCAAGTTGCTCTGGGGATGTCAGACTCCCGATCACCTCTCCATTCTTTCCCAGTGCCACGGGCTTCCAATCCCTGCGCCAGCACTCCGAACACCCATGCACCCCGGCTTCCCCTTCGCCGCGGGCTCACTCTGCATCGCCTCCTTCCGCCACCGCTTCCCCCCCGACCCCGGGGCGGGGAAACCGAGCCCAAGGACGCGCGCGGGTCTCCCACCTACCTTGATGATGCTGCTCCGGCGGGGCAGGCCGCCCTGCTTGCTGTCTCTGGGGACAGGACCCGCGGCAGGGCTCGGGGTCCGCGCGAGCGCCACGCCGAGGGGTCCCCTGGCGGGGCTGGCCCGGGCTTCGTCCCCGGACACGCCGAGGCTGCAGTCCCCGTTGGAAACCCCGCCGCTGTCATAGCGCGCCCGCCCGTGGCCGAGGCGACCTCCCCCGCCGCCGCCGCCGCCGCCGCCGCCTTCCCCGGCTCCCGCTTTCAGGGCGCCCTTGGCGCCGAGGGCCGGGCCCGGGGAGGTGGGCAGGGCCCCGCCGGCGGCGCCCCGGCCGCACTCCGCCATGGGCGCCCCACGACCCGCCTGCACAAAGCCGCGTCCCCGCGTCCCCGCCGCCGCCGCGCGCGGCCCCTCCTCCTCGCCGCCTCCCGCCGCCGCCGCCTCGGCCGCTTCTTCCGCTTTTTCTCTTCTTTTTATTTTTTTATTTTTTTTTTCCTTTCGGATTCAGAGGTGGCGCGTGCGGCGAGCTCGCCTCCCCGCGCGGAGACCGTCGTGCCGGCGGGGTCACCTCCGGGGTCCTGCTGGGGTCGGAGAGAGAGAGAGAGAGACAGAGGGCTAAGTCAGCTCGGGCGGCGGCGCCCCGGCTGCCGGCACCTGGGGAAGGAAAACACGCCCCGGCACACGCGCCGCTGCGGGCGCCAAAAATAACGCGCGCGCGCCGGCGCCCCCCGCCGCCGCCGCCGCCGCC